TAACGATTGGCTGAAAAAATTGAGTTTTATCTGAATTAAAGTTCACCAACCAGTGTGAGCCCCATGCTGTAGCAGAAGTGAGATTCTTTTCAAGCTCAAATGCCCCCTGCAAGCAATCAGAAGGAGTTGGCTTCTTATCGTGACAAGAATAAATGGTAATATCATCATGCCAACTTAGATGTGAGAATATCTGAAAGATTGTTAATATAAACTAAAAAGAGTATAGGGCCTAGAATTGAACCTTGAGAAATCCCAAAACACTTGCTTATGATCGGAAGAAGACTAATGGGACGGTAGTTAGATGAATCTGATTGCACTCCAGAATGCAACTGTGGAGTCAAGAGATAGTATTGATGAAAAGTTCTTAGCAAACAATTCAGCTTTGTCTTTGACAAAGTCTGAACCATACAAGAGAGGTGGAATTACAGATTTGCCCTTATTATTGATACTATTAAAGATTCTCCAGAAGTCACAAGAGCCTAATTTTTGTGATGAAATACAAGATTTCATGATCTAAGAAGAGCGGGCTTTGGCGTTAGACAAAACCTTTTTACAATGGTTCCTAGCAGTAATAATCAGACATCTGTTTTCTAGAGAACTGTTTTGCTGATAGATATGGAAGTAATGGTTTCCATTGGCAATTGCAGCAGAACAATGTGAGGAAAACTATGGAGAAGAGTGAGGCTTGACCTGGAATCGTCGAGAGGGAATAAAGGATTCCATGCCAGCCTGAATCCACGAAGTTATGTAAGAAGTACATTTGTCAACAGGAAGACGAAAGATTTCTACCCAAGGGCCATCATGAAGAAAATCACGGAAAGAGTCCAAGTCAGCTTTAAGGTAGTTGTAAGATGTGCGATGATAGGGTGATTCTGATGATGAAGAAGAATGAGATAATAGTTTTAGAGAGATCAAACTATGATCAGAGGCACCTAGGGTGAATGTGGAGAAACTGAGCACTGAATAGGATCAGAAACAAGACATAAGTCGAGTAGTGAAGGTAAATGATTCGGGTTGTCTGGAAAGCGAGTTGGAAAGTTGACTATTTGAGTTAGGGATCGAGAAAGGCAAAAGTTGTGGGCTTTAATGCCTGCAGAGTTAATGACACTAGAGCCAAGCCATTCAGTGTGATGAACATTAAAGTCACCGACAACAACAATATTGGTTGATGGATAAAGAAAGAAGGCTTGGTCAATATGATCAGAAATAACACCAAGAAGAGTGCAGTCTTGAGATGAAGGAGAGCAATATAGAACAAAGAGAAAGGTGATAGAGTGAATTCTTACCAATGTAAATGCCCAGGCCAAGCATGTGACTATAGGAGTCTTTATGAATTAAAGAAAGATAACCATCAAAACTAAGATCAAAAGATGAGACGGCTGAACTCAAATTAGTCTCACAAAGAGCAAGTAGGTTTGGCGAACTTTGCAAGAGATAAGACTCAACAGAAGAAAAGTTACTTCGAAGACCACGAATATTAGTGAATGATAGGTTTAGCAAACTTTGTGATGAGTGTGGTTTTTTTTGTTTTATAGTTTTTGTTACTTTATTAATTTTAAATTTGTTAAAGAACTTGACTCGAAACATAGATAGTACTCAGTACACTGCTTAATAGCTCAAGCAATTGCTTCATTACTATTATTAAACTAATAATAAAAGTTTTTATATTTTTATTTTTCAACAGTTTTTATATTTTTATTTTCTTTCTTTTGTTGTGCTCAGGGTTCCAATTTTAAATTGTCCCAGGTAATGAGCCTTCACCATCACTATAGAATCTATGGCCTAGTTACCTTATTACTATAACAAAGTAAAGGAGTTTAATAACTTCATGGGAACCTCAGTTTTATTTTATTTTTAAATAAAATTTTTTTGAATAAAACTTAGAACATGTAAATTTTTCATGGGATTGTAATTTCGCTGTTTGGAACTCTGTTAGTGATTGTTAATTTTTATTGGTAAAATTATCTGAAAAAAAAATAAATAATAAAAAAAATAATTTAAAAACAAATAATTTTAAATTTGACCAAAGTTATATTTTTCTGCCGTCAATGCAGAACATTTGATTCTACTCACAATTTTTGTATTATTACATACGATTTTCCCCACAATTTCTTAATAATCAACAAAATTAAACAGTAATTTCATTTTTTGTCAACATTTTTCAAAAATAAATGTAAAAATATGAAAAGTAGCAATTAGGAAATTAAAGCCTTAAAAAATTGCTGAAAGCAAAGACTAACGAGTAAAATTAGATTATGATTGGATCGATAGATGATCATAATAGGGACCTCAACCATATTTAAGTTTTAATGAATGTTCTGTTTTTGATTTAAATTTTTCATCAGTATAAATCTTTTTTTACAATTGATATATTTGCTGTAATTAAACCTATATAATAAATATGCCGATGCCATGAGCAATAGGTAAGCACTGAAGTCCTTAGCAATATAAGTTGTGAAAGTAAAAATCATTTTTTTACAAATTTTTCTAGCATTTTCTGTTGTTTTTTTTTTTGTTAAAAGTAATGTTTATTTTGTGTTCTATAATAAATTTTATGTTTAAAAGACAGTTTTCCAAGAAACTACATAGTACCAAACAATATTAAACTAGAAAGAATATGAAAATTAAATCAATCTATGTTTTTCTAAGATTCCTCCGGAGTAACCTGAAGAAGTCATGAAAACTAGAAGAAAAATTTACTTTCTTATTCTTAACAATATGGAACAACTATTTTAAACTTAAATTTTTTTAAAACTTTTTTTTTTAAACTTTTTTTTTTTTACTATGAAAATCGTTCCACCCTAACAAACATCCCATGTAATAATGAATATTAATTTCAGCAATCAATTAGAAAAGGCAAAGCAAGAAAAAAAAAAAAAGTTTAAAGTCAACATTGAAAAGAATGATTATCCTAGATTTTATTTTTTTTTTTTAAAAAAGAGGAAAGCAATTTTAAAGAGGAAAGCAAAATTACATTTAAATTAAAAGTTTATTTTAATTTCCTATTTTGTTAGCTTTGCTTTTTTTGATTTTAAAAATTAGTTTTTTCCATAACACTTAATATAATAAAACTTGCAAACCGCCGTGACCAAGTTGTCTAAAATAAAATACTCATGGGTGGACATAATAGACGATACAACCTACACTTAACAAAAACGAATGCAGGGTTAAAAATTCATTTTTATTCGTATCTGAGGCTAAAAATGGGTTATCAAAATAAAAATGTAATTCAGGTTTTGTTTTGCTCCACTAGATAAAGCAACAATTGCTATGACTGATATTTTAAACAAAGATAAAGATAGTCTTATGATACAAACTAAATTTTCATTAGTAAATATTCACAAACTTATTAAACTTTGTGTAAGTTAATGTTGTTTTTTATGGGATGACAAAATACATTTCTTAAAATAATATGTCCCAATTAATTTGTCCATTATGGTTGTTATGTCAGAAACTTATCTACAATTAACAAATTTTATGCTATCCAACAACCTTTAAAGTTTAATACTGCAACAATAACTTATAAAAGGTATTTTGATGATAGTCAGGTTCTATTTCCTAATATTGACAACATAAATTCTTTTTTAGATATTTTAAATTCATAAGATACAGCCATTCAGTATACTATTGAACACAAAAATTCTGAAAAACTGAATTTTCTAGATGAATAAATTTCCACCAATGTTATTGTGTTTTCACAAAATAGACACTCATACAAACAATTTGCATACACCGCTAAAAATTATTAAATATTATATAAAAATGCAATAAACTAGCAAATAGACCCTGGAAAACTTATCATACTGTCGTGGATATCAAAACTAAGCATTATACTTATATAAGAGTTTCCCAGAATAGATATAAAAACTGTTTTTCGCTATGGTAATTCATTTTATGTTGCAATATATTGGCATTGGATCCTAATAGTTATCCAGGTGTTTATAAGTTAGATTGTTCCTATGGTGAGAATTATGTTGGTGAAACAAGAAAGAAAATTACAACATGCGCTAATGAACATAATAGAAACATAACTAATTGCAACTGGGACACATTAGGTATAGTCAAACACGCACAACATTGTAATGGCTGAATTAACTGAACTAAACAAAAAATAATTTCTATTACCCCATTAACTATATGTGTAAGTGTTGCGAAGCAATTGAAATACAGTGTTTGCAATGCTCAAGATTGCAGAAAAACTCTCAGATTGTGACAATGGTAAAAAAAAGATGATTCAACAAACTAATGCCGAGTATCATCAGATACCAAATGAGCTGGTTGTGCAGCAAGTAATTTGGAAGTAACTTCCAAGTAAAATAACTTATGGTGGAATGGAGTTTTAACTGAGAAAGAAAAGGGTGAAAGAAAACATAAAATTAAATTTATGTACCAGCATGGTCCTAGTTATGGTCCTAAAACTAAAAAGTAACTGTATATATGCATATATATCTAATATAAATATAAAGTCATAAAATATAAACCACAAAAAAATTCTGCTTGTCATTTTTCTATGAGTTTAAAATTAAAAACTAAAAAGTTTAAATGGGAGATTTGGAAAAATAACCTATCCCTTCCCAAGGGCAGACCCAGACCATGTTGTAGGGGGAGAGGCAATTTTGATTTTTTTTCGATTTGGGGGATGCAAATGATCTAGTAAGGGGGAGGGGGAACAATTTTCAGATATAATGATTTGTAAGCAAGCAAACGCCTACCCTAAGTACAAAAAATCAAGATTTTAAATCATTTCCTAGCTTTTTACACATATTAATTAAATTTAAGATCTGTAATGGATTATATCTTGAAAAAGTAGGATAAAGTGTAGCAACCTAAAAAAAAATAGTAGTTGGCACTATTTACCCATAGTTATGTAGAAATTAGATTATATATATAAAAATGAGGTTTTGTTTCTATTCACCTCACTGGTGCTAATCACCCCGTTTTACGGTATAACTCTAAAATAATAAAATTAAAGTAAAATAACAAAATGATAGCAGACTCACCAAAGCAATCAGGAGCAACAAAGACAAAGAAGAAAAAACATAATCGTTTAAAGTTTTTTGAGTTTTGTAGTTATTGCAAATTGATAAATATAGTTTAGAAACTTTTTTGGTTGTTTATTTTGTTCCAAAGGTTTTCAATAAAGCCATAATGCAAATGATCATGTGAGCTATTTTAAATTGCTCAATTAGACAGGTTTATTTGCTTGTAAAAATAAAATCTACTACAGATATTCCATAGATATTCAAGTGACACAAAATGCTGAAATTAAAGTTACATGGCTTTGGCACTACACAATTATATATAGATGAAGCTGATAAATACAATTTATTATTTATTTGCAAAAGTAAAGACATTTTATACTTTAAATTGAGTATAAATACAATATTGAATATCCAGATTTATAGTAGAAGATATTAAATAAAATAAAACTATCTGCTTTAAGTTTATTAAGTAATAGAAATGACTCAAAAATAATCCATATTTTGCACAACTAAAATAATTTTCTTGTAGTTGGGCAAGCCTTTGTAACCAGTAACCTTTTAAAAGTGTATATTTTATCAGAACATCAGAAGCTTTCAAGGCTACACATTGTTTGATGTTTTTATGAGCAGATAATTGCCATAACTTCTTGGTATAGCATGGTTTTTCAGGGCGCAGATCGGCAAATCTGTGCAAAGTTTTATATAATGTTGATGCAAATAAAAAAACTAAAAAAAGCAAAAACAAATAGATGCATTTTCTGTCGGATCGTTCGTATTACTGATAAAACAAGTACGCAATTTCGTTGAGTATTCCTTTATTTTCTTGATTAATTCTTTTGCAATATAATCAGGCATTTTAGAAATTTTCATAAAAAACGGAAAATGACAACCATTAACTCAGACTTTAATCAAAGAAAATTAAATTTTCCAATTATTAACTTATGTTAACACCACTATTATATACCTTAAAGGTAATAAAACATAAAGAAAATATCTGTTTAAAATATTTTATGCTTAAACAGTTCAACATTTGGATTTTACAAAATAACTATTTTAATAGCTAAAAAAGTTGTTTTCTACGAAATAAACCTTTGTCTGAAAATTCGGAAACTTAGCTTTTTAAACAAAAATTATCGCGACCACCTGCTTGTAATTTTACTATTTATTATCGTGTATAAATTAAGTTTGCTAGTTAGATACGTCCGATATAGTACAGAAATATCCTGCACCATGCGCCCTCGATTTAAGATTTTTTTTTTGAGAATTTGAAAAAAAAAAGGGCTAGTTGAAATGATAATTTTTTTTCTTCTCGTTTCCGCTTTTTTTAGCTATACCGATGCATCGACTAATGCTTAGGCATTAAAAAGTGTTATATAATATAAAGTAAAAGAATGTATGAATTGAACTTCCAGTTTCATATTTCCAAATCGTTTCCAAATATAAATTAATAAAAAGGTTGCTTTTTATTTTTTTATATTATTATTATTATTTTCATTATTGTTAATTTTGTTATTACAATTATTAATGTTATTATCGTCATTACTATTATTGCTATTATTATTATTATTATTATTGTGAGTTAAAATGCATAGTATAAACATTCTAAGATGTTATGATACAAAATCCTAGACCACTAGCAATAAGAATATTTAGAGCTGTTTTACAAATAGAATACATATATTTATTTTAATCATTTTTACATGACAGCATTTATTTAAATTAAATTATGTCATAAAGATTATCAGTATTTCCATATTTATTGAAATATTACAACAGAATTACTCGAAACTAAAATTTATATTATGGCAAGCAATCTTTACCTATGTTGTAACTAAACCCTTTTAACTTGTTTAAGTCCGCAACAAATGCTTTGTTCAATGCTACTTAAAATACTTAATTTTTTTATATCTCAAATGTCAATACATATAGAACTTTTTGAAATTACATAATATTTAAACACTTTTATAGTAAAATATTGTACGTCAACTTTGCGATTAAGTTAAGTTGTAGCTAGGCAATAGAAATCAAATATATTTATTTAAACTTGTCAATTAAAAACAAATATTTGTTTTAACATCGCTTACGGTAAACACATTTTAATTCAAAAACCTTTTTGAGTATCCTATACATTATAATTTTCTTAAAGTTCAGTTTTTAAAACTTGTATTTGTGGTTTGCAGTTACATGGCCTTAAGGTAACTCATTTAAAAAACAAAATTGAATTGAATAGAAAATGCTTGGTTCATAGATATTTTAAAATACTTGTGTTGATATCAAACTCAAAGTTTCATTTCATTTGCAAAAAAAGCTATAAATAAATTAAATATGTTGCAAATTTCATCAAAATTAAAGGTAAAAAGAACCAAATCTGAAGAAAAAAATTAAAACACTGTTTCTTGATCAGTTTTAAACTAGATAAATTTTTGTTTATGGCTTCATTATATTATCAGGGGTGGGTTTAGCTTTTTAAAGAAGTTAATCAAGAAATGATAGCGTATCAAGATATGGCGAGGCACGGGGGAGGGGGCAGACGCTAAGAGTTCAGAAAATTTTCAATATACCATTTGTTTAAAACTCTTTAAATTAAAAGACTCAAATAGTGTTGCAGTTCAGACGCCATTTCGGACACAAATCACCATAAAACACTAATTATTTAAGTTTTAAATAGAAAAGCTATTTATAATCAAATATTACAGACATCCCTTTTGGTGAATTTAAAAAAGAACCATAGGTTGACGCTAATTTAGAACGATTAGAGGTAGTAAACAAAATACAGTAATTAAAAACACTACCATAATACAAGACATTTAATACACGTTTAATAATTAATTTATTACAAAACATTCGCAACAAAGAAAAATTTTAATTTTGGCTACTTTTTTAGCTTAGTTTTAAATTGATCGTTAAAATAATATTTCTACAAAAAATATAACTCTCTCTGCTTTTTAAAAAACATTTTATCTTTAGGAACAATATTTAAGTAATACTAAAAACAGTTAAAATCTAACAAGAACATTCAACATATTATTACCATTTATATAACAAAAATTATTGTAATTAACATCAAAAGTACAATATGGCAATACAATATTTTATATGAAAATTAACTGTAAATATTGGTTAATAAAACATCCCAATTTTTGATGATGCTGGTGAACAGTTATTCTTACCTTAATTGTATAGAAATAATTTTTTTTTTTTTAAATCTGCTGGCTAATAATCGATAAAGTAAATTTTAAGTCATAAAAATTTACTAAATTTATTTCAACAATATTACTTTGAAACAGTATCACTATAAAAGTTTACTAAATTAAAACTGTATAAAGCCATTTTATTTCTACAGTTAGGCAAGCTAAACTAAAATAATGACGCAAGGTGGAATGGTTAAAAAAGGTAAAACTAAAGAATAGAAAAAAATATATATAAATATATATAGTTATACTTAAATTTGTATACAACATAATGGTGAATCTGAATTAAAATATAAAAAATATACTTTAATTCAAAAAAAAGAAAACTTTAATTCAAAATTAAAAAAAAAACTTTATGAAAATGTAATTAAAGCTTATTAAGAAATCTAAAAATAATACTAACATTACATATTTTCCCAATTAATTTGATATACTAGATGAACTATTACTTATAATGTTTTTACTTATTCTTTGTCTTATATTTATTACATAGTCAACCCTATTCGTGGTTGGTTCAAGGTTTCGAAAAAAAAGTTACTATATTTTTTTAAAAGAAATGTTTTTGTTACTGATTTTGCCAGACTCTAAGTGTTAGGTGGGATAGTTATATATAAATTAATTTTTATTTTAAAATTTAAAACAATTTAAAGTGCATTAAATATATTTTTGTTTTTGAAAATTGAATGCATTAAACATATTTTTGTTTTTGAAAATTGAAAAGTTAAAATTGTTAGACCAAAAAACTTTTGGAATGCTTTTAGATGTTTAAGCAAAGACATAAGTTCTAGATTATTTAAATTTTAAAATTTAAAACAATTTAAAGTGCATTAAATATATTTTTGTTTTTGAAAATTGAAAGCATTAAACATATTTTTGTTTTTGAAAATTGAAAAGTTAAAAATGTTAGACCAAAAAACTTTTGGAATGCTTTTAGATGTTTAAACAAAGACATAAGTTCTAGATTATTTATCATAAATAATAAAAAAGACAAAGTATCCATTACTTCAGAATTTGCAAACCACTTCGAAAAAGTACTGAATACTTCAAAAATAACTCATCGTAATGAAAATCATCGGAGAATTCCCCCGTGTACAAAATATGATGATGTTACAATAACTGAAGAAAATATAATTAGGGCTATTTCGAATCTAAAATTTAAAAAATGTCCTGACTCTTTCGGTATTTCAGCAAAATATTTGAAATACGCAAATTGTGATACTTGAACAAAATGGCTCATCAAATTTTTTAATTATTTCATTAATTATGGATGGACACCATTATCAATGTCGACGTCTATTATTGTACCCCTTGTTAAATCGTATAAAAAATCTGTAGATAGCCCGAGCAATTATCGCGGTATTAGCATTTTACAAATTTTTACAAAGGTTCTAAAATACCTAATCCTTATTATATGTCCGGATATTAGAGGTACTCACCCCCTACAATTTGGATTCAATGCTAACTGTTCAACGCTACATGCTGAATTTCTAATTAGCGAAACAGTTAAACATTACAATAGCAACAATTCACCTGTATACCTATGCTCTTTAGATGTAGAAAAAGCTTTTGATAGCTGCAACTGGGATATCCTATTTGATAAATTATATTTCGATAAAAAATTACCACTCTGTATAGTTAACACTATCTCTTCGTTATGTAACAATAGTAGTGCAACAGTCTCATATCAAGGTTGTAAATCAAACTCCTTTCTTCTAAAGCAAGGAGTAAGACAAGGATCGATTCTTTCACCTCACCTATATAATATTTACACTGAAAATAATTACACTTGGCACATCTATATATGGTAACTTCACTGGTGTGGTGGCATATGCGGATGATATCATACTTTTAAGCTCTACCCTCTCTGGTCTCAAAAAGCTGATAAAAACATGCAATATTTACAGTAATTTAAATTGTATTAAAATAAAGGCCGAAAAAACTGAACTCTTGATTTCAGGTAAAGCACAAATACAAACCATTACGATAACGATATCGAGTAATAAAATAAATCTTCAGAATAAACTTAGACATCTGGGATTCACATGGGATACTAAACATTCAACTTTTGCTTCACTCAATAATACAAATGTTAATGAAAAAATTTCAAACTTTAGAGCTGTTGTTCAAACTCTTATTCAATCTGGAATCCGGTTTGCCCACCCAAGTTTTATTTCCTATATATATATAAATTATTGGCAGTCCCTACCTTAACTTATGGTATGAAGATATGTGAAAATAACTCTGCTTTGATGAAAAAGCTAGATGTAATTGGAAGGAGTGCACTAAAATCGCTTTTAAATGTTTCAAAACACAGAAAGAACTATACAAATTCGCTATTTAAAATCCAAGAAATTTCAAAAAGTATTCAACAAAATAAATTAAACTTGTTTCTTCCTCTTCTTAATAATAAAACAACTTCAGACATTATCTTTTCACAACTGAAACACCCCTTATTTAAACATTCGTTTGTTGGCAATATCCAGGACTTATGCCGTTTTCGGATGCTAAAATTTCAAAACTTACTTCAAAATAAAAAGAAGATAAAAATAGCACTTTCTAAAAGTGAAATTCCCTCCGAAGTTGAATAAACTTTGAAACATGCAATAGAGTGCTGGAATGCGAAAGAGCAAAGAGGGATTTTTAAACAAATTCTGGAGGAAAAAATTTTAAGTGAAAATCACGAGAAATAACTTTCTTATTTTTCTTTTTT